TCAAAATGTAAACTCTGAATCTAACGTACAAGATGACACTTACTTACCAATGTGTCTTGTCCTTTGAGTTTATATGGAATAATACTTTAGATATATAAAAAAGTAAGCCTTTAAGATTTAGTTTTTTGGTTAAATCTTCAATTAAATAACTTTGTTAGGTTAGAAAAATACACAAATACGTCCTCCAAATAATTTTCACTAATAAGTAAGTACATTATAAAATTATAGGATAATTAGTTTATTCTTCGATTTAATATACTTTATAATATATTCATTAAAAAATTATTATTTTTAAATATGAATTTAAGGTAAGAAAATTTTTAACTACAAATTTTAATGGTTGAACCAACAAATGTTGATGAGTGTGTTAAACTGAAAGATATCTCAATCATTTTCCAAAACTATAATATCAAACCCACCTCTAATATTACTAGGAGTCATCCTCCACTCCATTTCCTCTTCCTTTTCCTTTTCCTTTTCCATTTCCTCTCCATTTCTTCTACTTTCCTTCTTGCTTTTCTCATTTTATCTCCATTTCCTCTTCCTTTAATATGTTACTTGAAATTAGAGGTATTATTCGTTTCAATTTATTAGTAGCTTAATTTTCATTTTTTTTTTTAGTATTTTCCTTCATCCATAAACTCTCATATATTTTACTAATTAAACTTTTTTTATATTTCATGTGTTTTTATGAATTAAAAGCATTCGGGTATGTTTATATATTTAATTTCATTATTTGAAAATAGTTATTAATCAAATTATATATGTATTATGTAATGTTTTATATATTATTGTGTTTATAGAATAAATATGTTTATGTGTTAATTAATTTTAACATTTTATAAAGTAGTATTTTATTATTAATATTTTATATATTTAATGTTTTTAATTTGGTTATATGAGTTGTATGTTCATTTAGTGTTTTTAAGATTTTTGCATATATATAATCTTGATTAATATATGGAAAAATAGTTTGGACATCCTTTGATTCGATACACATGTAAAAACTCTAATTTAACAAATTACATAATACATAAAAAAAACCGTTATTTTTTGCTCTTAAATTAAAGACAAACAAACTTTAAAATGTAGTCATACATATAGAATCCAAAAAATGACTGAATTAATTATATTTATATTATATTTTAATAACCAAACTAAGACGAGTATTAAAAAGTGTGTTGAATCGAGTATGTATCAATCATTTTTCTTTAAAATATAATATAAGTATAATCGGTTTTACAATACTATATGCATGGTTAGATTTTTAAATTTTTCTACTTTTAATTTCAAACTGAAAAATTCTAAATTTTTAATGAATGTATTGTAAGTGTATTAAATTGGAAAATGTCTGTACAATGTCCTAATGTATATATATAGTATTGTTTTATGGTTAATATTATTTAGATTAGTTACTATTGTGTATTTGATTATATTTGTTAATGGTATACAATTATAATATTGTGTAAATAATTTTTTTTTTAATTCTAGATATTATTTTCTAAGCTTAGGTAAGCCTATAAGCATCAATTATTTTCCAGTAGTTAACGCCGGAAAATAAATGGTAACCCTATACTCCCTATTAATAATGAGTAATGATAACCTAAAATATGCTATGGGTTTGCTATTACCCATTTTTTTCTAGCATGGATAGTAATAACTTTTTTTAGCACAATAATTTTTTGTGTTGGAAAATAATTATTTGGTAGGCTTTCTTTTTCCATCAATATTTTTCAAGCTAACAAATATTTTGCGATGGAAAATAGCTTTTTTTTTTAGTAGTGGGAAAAGGAAGATTAAGATGAGAGAGGGAAGTGAAGGATGGAAAGAGAAAAAAGTGAATTCGGATAACAGATAAGAGAAAATGAAAGACATCAAGAAAGAAGAAGATCGGAGAAAATAAAGGAAAGGAATGTTAAAGGTTTATATGGAAAAAAATTGGTATATACTTAATTCAACACACTTTTTAATACTCATTGTGATTTAGTTATCAAAATATAATATACGTACAATGGATTCAATTAGTTCTTACATCCTGTATACATAACTATATCTTTAAATTTATTTCTTTTTAATTTTAAACCAAAAAATAATAATTTTTTAAAAAGTGTGTTGAAGCAGAATATGTACCAATTACCATTTGGTTTTTATAGACAAATATTATTTTCACTGCCCAACAGTGAAGAATAATATGGATGGATTTTTGAATGTTGGGCTCTAAACTTATGATAAAATTATTTTCCATTGTCTAGGTGAATTTTGGAATAATTTTAAAGAAGATAAGGCACTTGAATATTCAGCTCCAAAACTTCTAATGAAATTATTTTCCAGCATTTTATGTTGAAAAGTAACTGAAGGCACTATATTTGAAATTTCTAAGGGTGCCATGAATAATTTACAAATTTGTTTGTATGGTAGACATATTTGCATTGGGAATTAAAACGTGTCAATTGACTAAGGTTATTTTCTAGCTCTTTGTGCTAGAAAATAACCTATACAACTTAATCAAGATTATTTTCCAATGCCTAGTATTAAAAAATAACCTTGAAGTATTTCTATTAGGATAGTGAAAGTACACACTTGGTTTAGTATACTGCATAATATACTCATTAAAAAATTATTATTTTTTGGTCTAAAATTAAAGATAGTTAAGTTTAAAGATATAATTATGCACATAAAATACATGAATTAACTGAATTGACCGTATTTACATTATATTTTTAATGGTTGAACTAAAAGTGTATTAGAAAATCTGTTGAATTGAGTACATACCAATCATTTTCCTTTCTACTGTTTAACATTGATAGTTCTTGACATTTTGCCCCCCAAAAATTGAAAAATTATTACTATTATTTTTTATGTTTTCTTATTTAGCAACAAACCACCAAAACAAATTATGATACTAAATTATTTTCCAATGTTGAGTCAATCCTTCAAAATTATTTACAGGATATGGACATTTTATGCTGAGTTCTATTTTCCAGAATGCTCGAAATTAGTATATTTACTACACTGGAAAATATTTAGTGGAAAAAGGCTAATTAAATTTCTATTATTGTTCCCATTTAGTGGAAAAAGGCTAAATTTCTATTATTGTTCCCATTGATGGCTCATGACGACTTTGGTGAGGGATTTCTTTGTGGCATTATTGCAGACACCTCAATAGCATTTTGGTTTGCTAAATAAGGTCAAATTTATTTTTATTTTCCCCCAACATTTTGAGTGCTATAATAGTTTCAGTCGTTAAAGTATGTGTAGAAAACATGAATTGGCATGTCAAAAAGAACTAAATATTTATGAATATGCAAAGAGCCAAATATTGCAGAAGGTATTTAGCCAGCCAAATATTGCTACAGTATTTAGCAACTCAAATATTGCAAAAAGTATTTAGCTAGTCAAATATTACAAAAAAAAAAAACACTTCGAGTGCATAAGGAGATTTGTACTATTTTTGTACAATCTATTAATTTGAGACTCTTTAAATCTATTTATTTGAATTAAGAGCATATATGTAAGTTAAAGTTTGAAATTAATTTGCTGCTTCTCTAAAAAGGATCCATATTAGCATGAGTCCTAGTGATATTTACGTTGATGTGCTAACATAGTTTATCAATGCCTTATTTATTGGTTAAAATTATTTGAGAAGGCTCATTTGCATATTTTTTCAACTTAACAAAGTTATTTAATCGAGAACTTAGCTCCAACAGTTAACGACGTTAATGGTGGTTGACGGAAAGAACCTTAAATACTCATATATGCTTAAGGTATTATATATTTGGTACAAAATAAAAATTTTGTATACTCTTCACCTATTTTCCAAAAATTTAGAAATTTTATTTGGCATTAAACATATTACTATAATTATTGTAAATTAGGTTCAACCAACTATAACAAATTCCGATCCAATTACTCAACTAATCAGTAATATTCATAACAAAACCCATAATTCATATTACCTCCATAATAGAATCAAAGACATTTTTTTCATTTAATCTTTGGATTTAAGATTTTGAGAAAATTTCTATTTTCATCTATCTTACTTTAAAAAAAATACTACCGTATCTTTTTATAATAAGATGAATAATTAAAATTGAAAAATAATCATAAAATTAAATTAAAAAATTATTTATTTTTCTTAAATTATAAAAAACTATTATATTAAGACAAACTCTAAATAAAAAAAACATCTACCATCATCGTAGAATGGAGGAAGTAATTCAATCCAATCCCATCCCAATTAATTACCCAACACGTTTGTTTTTAAAAAATTAAAAAACATGATAAATTAATAAGTTGGTCGGGATATAGAAATCTCCGCCGGTAATGCGGAATAGGGTAAGATTTTATCCCTTATCAGAAAAATCTCCACAGAATCCCTCCCCCACAATTAGCGGGAATGGATACCCCTGCCCCTTGGGACTCCTTGTCATCCCTAAACTTGCAATAATGCCCCCATGGTTTACCTGGTTCCCTTTTAAAAATGAAGGTAATTTATCACGAAATTTTAATTTTGGTGTGAATGGTTTTGACTAGGAATCCGTAAAGTGGTCTTTTATGGTGCTATATCAATGAAAAATTTTGTCTTTATAAAGAGTTATAGCTTATAGCTTAATTGAAAATAGTTTATCTTTTATATTGTTGACTAAAATCCAATTTGCTATGGAGATCAATGATACCTTAAGAATTTCTTAATTTTAACATAAATGACTTATTTTTTGTCCAAAAAAAATAGTTTTCAAATATATATGAGTTAATCTAAAGACATCATGAGCATTAAAATTAAAAAAATAATAAAATAAAATCTCTCGAGTTATTATATATGTTTTCTTTTTTTATCTTGATTTTCAATGTTGGATGTAACACATAAGGACCTAACCAAAACTTTTAATCTTGATCACTGTTTTGTTCCTTGGACAGAACAATGGACACCCTTTGTCTTCATCCCTTTTTATGATGTGATTAATTCACTATTCTATTTTGGACCTTCTTCATGGGACCTTTCTCACTATCCTCCAAAAGACGAGTCCTACTCTCCCTGGCCAAGCAATCAACATCAATCAAAGAGAAAAAACAAAAAACCAGAAGGGTAAGAGATTATGGCTCTAATTAGATTTGTTGAAACAATTATTAATTATTAGTTTCAATCAATTAAATAAAAATATTTAAATTATAAATAACAATAATTACAAATTAAATATTGATAAACAATTAGCTCTTAATTATATATTTATAAAACTAATCCAAACAGAGTCTATAATAATGAAATTTATTACTTCCTACCCAACTGTTACACTATTATTATGATCATTTACATCAACTAATCCATTTAGTGGAGCACAAAGCCTCACTGATGAAAGTGCCTTGTTGAAATGCTTGGCTTTGGTGCCTAGATATTCATTCCAAGTAACGGGCCGGTAAAGGGGAGGCTGACTCGGCCCTACTAGTTTGGAGAGTGGGGAGATTTTGACACTAGACGGGGGTCCATATAAGTATGCAATAGAGAGACGTTGATGGGTTCGGTTCACTTTGGCCCGGTGAAGTACACTCGGGTACAAGCCGTTTGATAGTATGTGGAGTAAGTCTCCTATATTGACCACAAGTCCACCGGGAACCGGAGGGACTGTAACCCAACCAGTTCCCTCTTTCAAGACCTGCAACCCGCTAGTTCGGTTTTGGTGGAGGATGGTGAGAAGGGTTGAGTCGGTATGTGGGGCAAGACCCATGGCTCGATCCGGGTCTGGACAAGCCGGGTAGTGGTTCAGTTGTATGGCCGCAGAACTTTCATGGAAATCACCTTTTGGTCCGGCCCATTCGATATCTTCCTCGGTTATGCCCAACGAACCCAGCACTAGCCACATTAATCT